CTGCGGGAAGAGCTGGTCCTGGAGGACAGCCCTCGGTGAGGGAGCACTCCCCCAGCGCTGCGGGAAGAGCTGGTCCTGGAGGACAGCCCTTGGTGAGGGAGCACTGCCCCAGCATAGGGCCATGCCCACACCTAGGAAGGACTCCGTGTGGCCTTGGAGGGTGGCAGCTGGTGTTTACAAGAGAGCCACAGATGGAGGCACCAGAAGTAACCACAGATCCTGTGTAGAAGTTGGAGGGGGATAGGAGATGGTGCCGGAAGGACCCACACACACCCTCAATCCGTAGCCGGGCCTGGAGTCTGGCAGCCTGCATCGGGGGGGGGCCTCTCGTCGCCCGGGTCACGTGGGGCCTTATCAACATCCCCGTGGCCCCTCTCTGGGGACGGGGCTGGTTCTGTCCCCTTGACCATCTGCTCCAGGATTTCCCTGAGCGGGACCATGCCACCCCCCATCCAGGGCTGTGTGCCTGTGTGCCCTCCTGCCTGCTGGGCATGGCTGGACGAGGCCGGGGTTGGGACATTGGGTGCCTAGGGGAGCAGAATTGCCCACCTCCTGAGGGGCCTGGCCCTTCTCTGACGTGCTTCCAGCTTCACCGGACCCTGAGAAACTGATCTGGAGAAGCCAGGGAATAGGATGGTCCCCAACATTCCCACCTGCTCCGCGAACCCAAACAAGATCAGGGCTCCACCTCTGGGGAGCCGGCAAGCGGGCAGACGCTGAGCTCACGTGACCCTCTGTGTGCCCAGCGGGGCCTGGTGGGCGCTGCCTCCGGTGGAGGGTTGGCAGGAGCGTCTAGGCAGGTGTCCCACCCCCCAGGTGGAGGCGGCCTGCTGGCCCTGGGGCCCCTGGCCACGGAGAGGATGGCGCAGGCCAATGGAAGTGGCCAGGCCTGGCTCAGCTTCCGGGAGAGGGGTCTCCTCTCCATACGCGGGACTTCCAAGCTGCTGGTGGGCCCCAGGTGCCGCCGTGCTCTTATTTCTTCCCCTTCAGCGAAGACAGGGAGGCACACAAGCCAGTGGCGTGGGGCAGCAGACCTGAGACATTGAGCGAGTCACGGAACGTCTCCCAGCCTCAGTCTGCCCATCTGTAAGATGGGTACGATTCTATGTTCCTGGTACTCAGCCTGCTCTGAGGGGGTTGGGGCTGTGGGTCTGAGGACCTCAGCTGGGGTTGTGCCTGAGTGTTGCAGGGAGGGAACCTGTGTGACTTCAGTCAGGCTTCTGTCCACACCCCACGAAGGGCTGGAAATAAAACTGCAGTATATCTTCTTAAATTGGTAATCCAGATGGCGAAAAAGTTTGTAGTTTAGGTATGTCCTGAATACTTTAATTTAAAGTAAAGCGGTGTAAGTTTTTGGTGAAACTACGTGCTAGATGTTTAGCGTACGTACGTTGCAGATAGTGGGGGGCGGGGGGTCTGGCTTTTTTGGTGATAAAATACGCATAAAAAAAGATTTAGCATTTTAACCATTTTTGTGTACAGGTCAGGGTCATTAAGCACATACGCAGCGTCCACACCATCCGTCTCCAGAATTTTCTCATCTTCCCCCACTGGACCTCTCTCCCCAGTGGACACGGACTCCCCAGCCCCGCCCTGGCCCCGGCGCCCACCCTCCGCTCTGTCACTGTGACTCTGACGACCGTGGGGGCCTCCGCGTACAGGGAGTCACACGGTCTTTGTTGCTTCAAGTCTGGTTTCTTTCACTCCGCACGGCGTTGGCAAGGTCGGGTGCCTCCACGTCGTAGCAGGTGTCGCACTTCATTACTTGTTGAGGCTGAATAATATTCCGTCCTGTGGCTCTGCCACGTTTTGTGACCCACCTCTCCGTGGACGGACACGGGCTGTTTTCACCTTGGGCTTGCTGGGCGGCCGGGCGTGCCTGCCCCTGCCCCTGCTTCCGCGTCCCCGTCCTGCTCAGGATGCCCCCCCACCCCGGGGCTGGCGTGGGGGGAGGTCTCGCAGT